GGAGCAGTAAAGCCATCGTTCAATCTCATGGTTTTACCACCCCCAACCACACATGAGAGTCCTGAATGAGAAAAAAGCAGAGCTGCAGAGTCCTTTGGAAAGAGTAACCACTGCATAGATACCACTGGAAGTGACCTCTGTACATCCACGGTTCTCATTCTCTCCCCCTTCCTCTCCTCCCCCTCTCTCTCAATTTGCTCTGCCCCCTCTTTCCCTCATCCCTGCCCTCTCTCTCCCCTCCTCCCTCCGACCCCCAGTCTCTCCTTACCCTTCTTTGCCCCCCTCCCTATCTCCCCTCACCCTATTTTTCTATCTCCCCCCACCCCTTTATTCTTCCTTCCTCCATTTCTCGCCCACGCACCCCTTCTCTATCTTTTACTCTCTCTCTCACCTTCTCTTCCCTCTGTCCCTCCTCCCCCTTTTAGTATCTCTCCCTCCACCCCCTTTTAGTTTCTCTCCCTTCACCCCCTCCTCCCCCTTCACTCCCCTCTTTTTTCTCTTTACTCCCCTCTCAACCTGACTGCCGCACTCTATACGCTGTGTTGTATTAATTAAGCGACCATAGAGAGATTGAATTTGGCTGGTTCAGCAAGGATTGGGTGCATTTTGGTACATGTATGGCTATTTCTGTTTGACAGAATTTGGTCTAATGATCAAGTTTTGTTGAATGAGGATATTGGAAAACTTATATGGATCATCAGCTGCAGCCACTGATCAATGCATTCCGACAGCAGAGAAGTCCCGCTGTCAGAATACAATAGCACAGCAGGGAGGATTCCTCCATCCACCTCATTTGTGTGGATGGGGCAATCTGTTCATTTACTTTCTCGTTCAGCCTAGTATGTAACCAGTGAGGGCTACCTAAAGCCACCAAAAACCACATTTTATTCTGCGGTGCACTGTGCACGCAACACTTTCTTTTCCTCTGACAGCCAAATTATGATCTTACCCACTACTTGCAGAAATGCCCCTGCCAAGGGGTAATAATTTACTACACAGTGCCCTACCCCTATCTACTACACCACATAATTTGTTTCCTTGGTGTAGGGGGTTGGACCAGGATCCATGGCATCCTTTGTTGTTATTTGTGAAGGGGGGATATGTTGTGATTAGGAAATGGGGGGGGGGACTCTTATGATGACAAGAACCTGTTGTGATGGTGGGCATTTTGTCATGATGACAGGGCTCTGTTGTGATGGTGGGGACTTGTTTGTTATTGCAAGAGCTCCAATGGGAAGAGGGGATTCTGATAAGATGGGGGTGACTTTGATTTGAAGGAGGCTATGTAATGGGGGGACTGTGATGTAAAGGTGACTGACTCTGAAGTGATAGGTGGAATTTGATGTGAAGTGGGAACTCCTTCATGTAGCACCAAGGAGTGGGTGACATCATCATCCAGTACAGATGTCAGTGTCTTTCATCCCAATAAATACAGTCCAGGACTGGGGTGTCTCAAGATTTTGCATACATTTTTTTTCCTTTCAATAAATTTTTATTGAAAAAATGTTGATTTTAGAACATAGATAGCAAAGATATAACAACAAGAGGTAACAGATCAAAAGCAGGCGTGCACAGAAAAAACATACTTGGAATTGGTGACAATGTAAATGACATGTCAAAAAAATCAACCATATCATGTCGATAAATCAGCGTAAGGAACGAATGAGAGACTATACACCAATTGCCTAATACCCGACAACAGAAAAGTAGTGACATTTGGAATGCATAAAGTATATAGTTGAAATACCTGGAACACATCATAAATCATCGATGGGTAAGATAAGAAGAATAGAAAAAGAAGGAGGGTGGAAGGGGAGGAAAGACAAGAAAGGATCAAAAGGAGAACATCAAAAGAGCTTGAACCTGGGCTATAGGGCCTCCAAAGTTATAGCAAACTTAAACTGCCTAATGGTATAGCAGGATGGGCATGTTGAATTCATGGAGTCGATGTTTTAAGGAATCTCTCGTGGGTATCTGAAAGAATGCTAGAGAGCTTTTAATTAACAACAAAGAAATCTAGGTGGCGATGGACTGCCGTAAAAGGTATGAACTGTTGTTTTCAAGCTTTCGCTATGGTTTGTTTGGCCGCCAATAGTACATATGTAGCCAACTTGAATTGGTGTTAAGTAAGGCCTGGGGTTTCAGGTGTTGAAGGACATGCCACAGGTCCCTTGGGAAGGGGCAAGCTAATAATGAATGCAGGAGTTTAAGGACCATTGACCAGAACCAGGAGAGCATAGGGCATGTCCACTATATGTATAGGTCGTCTCCCAAGGTAGCACAGCCTTGGAAACAGGTGCCGGGGGCAGATGGATGAAGGTGCGCTAGATGGGATGGAACCAAGTGCCACCTTTTAACAGTTTTAAAGGCCGATTCCATGGTAAGAATATTAATAGAGCATGAGGTCAGGGTTGTCCATATCTGTGACCAGCAGCCCATATCTTTGGTGCTTTTAAGATCCTTTTCCCACCTAGAAACATAAGTGTGGTTGTTTGGATTTTGAAGATTAATCAACTGTGAGTAGAGGATAGAAATAAGTTTGGGGGAGAAGGGTGTCCGATGACAAAATATGTTCAAACAGGGAGAGTTGGGTCGTCGGATCTTTGTCAGTGAGCACCGAAGTCACCCAATGTTTGATTTGTAAGAATTGGAAAAGTTCAGCGTGAGGGGCTTGGTATCTGTTGCATAAATTTTTTTACTTATTTTAAAAAGTTTACAAATAGATATCCAAAAACCAGATTTGTACAAACATTAAAAACATGTACTCATCATACAAAAACAAAAAAACGTATAAAAAGGTGTATGTCCCAAGTCCCTATTCTATTTTCATAATCTCCTGCCTTATTCCCTTTAAAAGAGAAAAAGGGGGGACAGTAGGAGGGGTGGAGGTCCTCTAAATTGTAATGCATAAAATATTAAAATTACCTGGTCCTGTCAGCTTTGACCCATATCCTCTCATACACTCCTCTTTCCCTTCCTCCCAATGTTTTTCCCAGCCTCCACCTATTAGTTGTGTTGTGATATTACAGGCCATCTCAGTGTGATAATGATATTGATTATATTGTGAGAGAAAAAAAAAAGAGTTCAACTGTGCATAAACCTAAGCTCCAAAATTCGAGTTTAGGAGCTTTTGGCATTTTTTTGCCAAAGCTCCTAAACTCAACTCCATAAAAGCCTATGTGTACATGTACACATAGGCTTCTAGCAGAGTTTAAGAGCTGCTGCGTTTAGGTGAGGTTAAACCTTCCTCTCCTGAATGCTGAAGAATCGCGTTCAGGATAGAAACGTTTTGACTGCCGACCGCGGAAAATCGCAAAACGTGGCAAAACGCAGCAACCGCGATACCGTGTTTTTGACGGGATTTGCATCTTCCCGCGGCTGAAAGTCAGGGTAGGCTCGTGTACATGAAGCCTAAATATTCTCCCTACCCTCCCACCTCAACCTCCCTCTTACCTCCCTTCAGGCCCAAAATGGGCATTGTACATTCAGTGGAAGTGCAAAGTCTTATTGACTGTGAATGGACAGATTACGGATTTTACATACATTTAAAAGATACATAATTAATTTTTAAAAAAGGTTGAGAAACTCTGGCCTAATACATGTGCTTTTTGTTACAGTCGCATGGAGACGAATGGAACTAAGAGAGGAGAGGGTAAAATGATAATGTATTGACATTATGCCCCCTGACTTTTTTTTTACTGCACCCCCAGATCAGACAGGCTAGATCTGGCCTTGTCGTCTAGCAGTGCAGAGGATCAGGAAAGTAAATTATTTTACTCAGTCCCCTAGACTTAAACGAGCAGATAACCTGTACAGTACAGGTACAAGTAGAAGTAGAAGTTTTGTATTTCCCAGATTCAGCTTTAAAGGAAAATTACACTTTTAAAGTACATGAAATAAAATGAACAAATAAAGCATTTAAGAAAATAATGTAGTTATATCCATTTTTTGTAATTTTCACATTTTTCATGTCGGCAGACTGTGGCTTTAATAGTAGTATTTGGATACCATGCGTGCAATTTTCTATCCTCTAATTACAGCAGATGCAAGCCACTTTTCTTCCTACATTCATCTACACCTACATTGTTAGGCCCATACTTCCTGCCAATGAAGCAGAGAGACAGAAGCTACGCAGGAAGACAAATGAATGGCATATCTAGCCCTATTCACAAATAGCCTTTGACAGTGATGCAGCAAGATTGTGTCCTCTGTGATAGCACATACATCCCTGATTAATCCCTGCATCTCCACTCCACTACATGCCAGGAAAGAAAGCTTTCTTCATGCTTACTGAGTTATTCTATGGACTCATTATTATACCTTCTGTGTAGTGGGGGTTGTGGTGCCTGAAGATTTAGGTGGAAAAAAAGTGGCTACTGCTGGGCAGTTTGTATTTTAAGGATACCAGTAGAATCTGAAACTGGTATAAAAATGTACCAGTATATTGCAAAGTTCTTTTGAATTTTACATCTATTAAATTAATTTAGACATGTCCTTACTTATATTAATGTAATATAACTTTTAGTTTATGAAGGTCTCAAAACTGTTCCAGATACAGATGCCAACTTCAATCTTAAAATATGAAATGTGCCTCTAAATTAGGTATTGATTATGTAAGAGAGGCTGCTTATCCTTTTTTTCACTAGACTTTAACCATTTGACCTTCAGAAGGTTTTACCTCCTTCATGACCAGATAATGTTTTGTTATTCTGCACTGCGGTACTTTAACTGGCAATTGCTCTGTCAAGCAACACTGTAACCAAATTAAATTTATATCATTTGTTTCACACAAATAAGAGTTTTCTTTTGGTGGTATTTAACCACTTGCCTACAGGGCACTTATGCCCCCTTCCTGCCAGGCCAATTTCCAGCTTTCAGCGCTGTCACATTTTGAATGACAATTGCGCGGTCATGCAACACTGTACCCATATGAAATTTTTATAATTTTTCTGAGACAGATAGAGCTTTCTTTTGGTGGTATTTAATCACCTCTGGGTTTTTTATTTTTTCTTAAACAAACCAAAAACCACTGAAAAGTTTGAAAAAAAATGTTTTTTCTTAGTTTTTGTTATAAAATTTTGTAAATAAGTGATTTTTCTCCTTCACTGTGCGCTAATGAGGCTGCAGTGATGGGCACTGATAGGCTGCACTGATGGACACTGATAGGTGCCACTGATGAGGAGGCACTGGTAGGTGGCACTGATGGGCATTGTCAGGCATCACTGATGCGCACTGAAAGGCAGCACTCATATATGGCACTGATAGGCGGCACTGACTGGCACTGATAGGCAGCACTGACTGGCACTGGTAGGTGGCACTGGTAGGTGGCACTGACTGGCACTGATGGGTGACACTGAAAGGCAGCTCAGATGGGCACTGATATGTGGCATTGATGTGCACTGATATGTGGCATTGATGTGGCACTGATGGGCACTGGCAGGTGGCATGGATGAGCACTGACAGCTGGCACTGATGGACACTGACAGGTGGCACTGCTGGGGCTACACAGATCATCAGGGCACACTGATCATCAGTGCCCTGATGATCAGTGTACATGTCCCCTCCAAGGAATGCCGATTACCGGCTCTCCTCTCCTCTCTTTCCTGCTGCTTTTTGATGACTGCTGCCAGTCATCACAATGGCAGGTAGGTAGTATTGGTGACTAGACCTTTGTCCTCTGTTTGCCTTTTGTAAGTGCTGCTTTCAATGTTCAAGTGTTACTAAACCCAGGAGTCTGCATTCACTCTCTGTTCTCCCACCGTACACAGAACGTGAAAATGTAATTATTTTAGTAAATATAAACTGCAAAATACCTTCTCTCATCAGCAGCTAGAGCAGTCTTGTGACTTCTATTAGTGTCCAGCAGAGCCCTGGGTAAAGCTTGTAGGAGGAGTGTTCTCTAGGAGAATGTAGAACCCCTGACTCCTGTCTGAGCAGTTCTGATTGGCCCTGTGCTGATCACATGCACTCTCCCAAGATAAAAAACCTCTCTAGCAATACACACCAAACTGAGCATGTGCAGTGTCTCCACACTTATCAGCAGATAAGAGGGGGACACTGGAAGAATGGGAGGATTAGAGAAGTCAGGATCAAACAGCCTTTTTACACAATGCAGAGGATTAACCCTTTAGGTCCCACAGTGAGTATAACAAGCATTCTTTGCTACATATACAGACTGATTTTACTGTCGTGGGTTTAGTAACACTTTCAGGTCCTCTTTAAAACCCAACTCCAATCAAAATGCTTTCTCTTTGTTTTGATTCGAGTAAGAAAAGGTTTGCACCTTTGCCAGGTTTTCTGCTCTCTTCCTGTCCAGATAGCAGGCTGTCACTTACACAAGAAATGATAGGAAATCTCTCCACCTGGGAAAGAGACACCAACCTTCCAGTTCTGTTCCCCTTCTTTCCTGTCCTAGTGTCACAGAGACAGGAAATTAAGGAACATTTCAGTTACGGGGCTATCCACAGCTATATAAGCCTGACAGAATCTCTCTGTTCTGCCTAAAACTAAAATGGTTTTGGCTAAAGTCGGGCTATAATTTAGTAGACATCTATAATACTTTGCTTAGAGAGTCTGTTGCACATGAGCAAAACCCTACTATTTTAATTTCTGGAGAAAAAAAGGTTTCAGTTTTTGAAGTTTATGCTACTGACCCTCTTTGCCATTTAGGGTGAACCTACATTTCAAAATGCCACAGCTAGTTAGACTTATGTACAGTGATATATTATGGAATGATATTAAACTAATCAAAGGAACTAAACATCAGCTGTAAAGGCACAACCAAGTTTACTGCTATCTCACCAGCTAAAAGGATGAAAGGAGGGCATTCCAGCTTCCTGCATTACTAAATTTGTATGCTCTGTGGGTATCACAATGCAAATGATCTTAAGCCTGGGTTCACACTGATGCGGTGCGGCATATAGCATGTGATTCGCACAGGAACTGAACCACATTCCTGTGCAAGTCACCTGCGGATTCTGTGCGGTGCGTTTTGAGCCATACCTTTTTGTATGGCTCAAATCACATTGCATCCACACCAAAAAGGTGCAGGACCCTTTATTTGGTCCGCACTAGAATTGGATCGCATGGGTATTCACACCTATGTGATCCGATTCTGCACATCGCACGGTGTTTTGCGGACCGCTTTCGGGGTGTTGTTATCTTGACATACACACCCCACAGAGGCTCGCATGAACGGGGTGCGATTCTGATGCGGTGCGGAATTTGCACAGAAACCCCTGTGAATTCCATGCCGCATCAGTGTGAACCCAGGCTTAAGAACATTTCAATCATTTTCAAACAAGTTTGCAGTGGGACTTTGGGTATCCTTTGCTAAACTCAGGATAAGGACGGAAATTTAATTTCTCTGCACGTTGCAGCAGTATGGGTGCTAAGCTGATAGCTGTAAACTGTCGTGCTACAACACATCTGTCTTTATTTCAAGTGAGAACACATTGTATACAATTTCCATACGAGGCCATTAAAGTTACTGCAGGGATCAAGAAGAGAGCCAGGATTAAGGCTTTATGCACACAGGACACACATTTTCAAAACGCTGCTCCTCTTTGCAGCAGTATTTTGGCAAAACAACGCCTGGAGCGTGACACTTGTAAAAGTATTTAACATTTTTGCAAGCGTTTAGGTGCGTTTACAGGCATTAAGCATTTCATTGGCCAGAATAATAATTTATTCTGGCCATTGAAATAAATTAACGTTACGCACTATACGCACTTAGCATTAACAAGCGTTTAGGCATGTTTACATGCTTTTTTCCTGGTAAGATGCTGCTGCTCCTGAACTCACTGCCAGTGGGGTTTTTTTACAGCTCCTAAAAGACCCTGCCACAAAGATCTTCTAAAAGTCTATGTGTGCATGGACACATAGAATAAAATGGACGGGCGTGTGGAACCTGTAAAAAAAAAACATCCAACACCCCTAAAAATGTAGAGCTCCTAAAAGCCCCTGCCACAAAGATCTTCTAAAAGTCTATGTGTGCATGGACACATAGAATAAAATGGACGGGCGTGTGGAATCTGTAAAAAAAAAAACATCCGACGCCCCTAAAAATGTACAGCTCCTAAAAGCCCCTGCCACAAAGATCTTCTAAAAGTCTATGTGTGGACACATAGGATAAAATGGACGGGCGTGTGGAATCTGTAAAAAAAAAAAACATCCGACGCCCCTAAAAAATGTACAGCTCCTAAAAGCCCCTGCCACAAAGATCTTCTAAAAGTCTGTGTGCATGGACACATAGGATAAAATGGACGGGCGTGTGGAATCTGTAAAAAAAAACATCCGACGCCCTAAAAATGGACAGCTCCTAAAAGCCCCTGCCACAAAGATCTTCTAAAAGTCTATGTGTGGACACATAGGATAAAATAGACGGGCGTGTGGAATCTGTAAAAAAAAAAAAACATCCGACACCCCTAAAAATGTACAGCTCCTAAAAGCCCCTGCCACAAAGATCTTCTAAAAGTCTATGTATGGACACATAGGATAAAATGGACGGGCGTGTGGAATCTGTAAAAAAAAAAAAAAAAAAAACATCCGACGCCCCTAAAAATGGCTGCAAAAACTCCCTGTGTGTCAGAGGCCTAAATTAACACAAAAAAACAAAAGAGCTTTTTTGCACAGATACTTCTGCAGCAGGCTCTATGCAGTCAGCATTTACAGATCAGACTGCAGTGTTGATCCATTGCTTGGTGTTTCCAGTTTTAGGAAAGGGAGTATAACAGATTTCATCATACAGTAAAGGAAATAATCACTGAAGATGCCATTTAACTGTGCAGATTATATACAGTATTTCTATACATTTGCCTCTTGAAATCTCTTTAGTTCACGTGGCTTTGTTTTGCTGTGCATTCTCATTGTCAGCTTACTTCGGGTTGCCATGGCAATTCTTTGCCCTGATGCTTTGTTGAAGGATACGAAGCTGGCTCCCTGTTATTTTAACATGTTGGAAGGGAGAATTTCTGAATGGTGGGGGGAGCAGTTTATGCTACATTCTTTATGAAGCAAGCTGGGTCTCCACTGAGATTTTCTTATAGAGCAACTGTGCTAAAAACCGGGCAGGTCTACATGTGAATCACGTATATACATTTATATACATCACTTTCACTTCTATACTATAAAATCTTGACTGTCATACATCTTATTCTAATGCAGATAACAATGGTTTCCTTGTGTGTGTCCTGGTGAATTCCATAGAAATGACCACATGCTAACAATCACAGGCTGCAAAAAAATACATATTCTCTGCTAGGGATTGTGCAGCTCTTGGCTTTGTAATAAATATTTTTATGTTGCAGAAGCAGAGGAGCATATTAAAATTATAGATCAGCAAACACTGCGGGCTTCTGCTTCCTCTTCACCCAGTACATATCTACTACCATGTGCATGTTGGACAGTGCTGCGTTAATCAGTAAAGCACATTGTACATATGGCATCACAATGAAAAAAAAGGTATAAATGGGAAAATGGTCATAAAAATTAAATTTATAATCCAGTATACCCTTTAAAACCCAGCTTTCAAAAGTTTCTTCCTTCCGTTTGAGGAAGAAATTATCAAACGGAAAGACTTGGCATAAGTACAGAAAGAAAGAAAGATGTAGAAAGACAGACTAGTTTACACTATGAGAATGATTAAAGTGGTTGTAAAGGCTGAAGGTTTTTTACCTTCATGCATTCTATGCATGAAGGTGAAAAACCTTCCATTTGCAGCAGTGCCCCCAGCCCCCCTAATACTTACCTGAGCCGCATCAAGATCCAGCAATGTGTAGTGGAGTCTTGGCTATCCTGGTGTTCCCTCTCCTCATTGGCTGAGACAGCATCAGGAGCCATTGGCTCCCGCTGCTGTCAATCACAGCTAGTGAACCAGTGAGAGGAGGGGGGGTGGGGCTGAGCTGAAATGTGAAGGACAGTCTCTGCCTCCTCATTGGCTGAGACAGCAAGCGGGAACCACTGGTTCCCGCTGCTGTCAATCACAGCCAGTCAGCCAATGAGAAGAGAGAGGGGGTGAGCTGTGGCTCCGTGTGTGAATGGACACATGGGGCAGTGGGTGCCCCCATAGCAAGCTGCTTTCTGTGGGGGCACCCGACAGGTGAGAGGGGACAGGAGAGCAAGAGACCCAAGAAGAGGAGGATCCAGGCTGATCTGTGCAAAACCACTGCACACAGCAGGTAAGTATAGACATGTTTGTTATTTTCCAAGAAATAAAAAATTAGAATCGCTTTAAGACTTGCCATACAGGACTGACAAGAACTAGCTGAAATTTGAGTCATGGTTGGCCCTGTCGACACCACCCAGCTCAACAGACTTCAACTGATAAATCAAAGCCTGGCCAGAAAAAAGTTAGTACAGACACAGGCAGTGCTCTGTCCCACTTATATGTATATTTTCTGTGCAGTGATGGATTGCACTAGGTTTCTATTGTTTTGTTACTGACATCTAGTGGAGGTTTTCAAACACTACAGTTTGTTTTTTGTATGTTATTTGGTATCTCCGCTGCCCTCCCATTTAGCACTAGTTAGTTCAGTCCTTGCTAGACCCACCCCATATTTCCTCAGTCAATATTTGTACTTTGCCGTTGTCACTGGGGCGATTTACTAAAACTGGTGCACGCTGATTCTGGCGCATCTCTGAATAGTAACCAATCAGCTTCCAGGTTAAATTGTCAAAATTTGATTGAACAAGCTGAA